ACAAAAAACTTGCTCCCAACATTTCAAAATAATGTGGTCATCACCGACCTCAAGACAACAATCAGAGAAATCCATTTGAAAAAAAAAAAATCCAAACAAGAAACAGAAGCGACAAAACAAAGAATTGACTCTCGTTCGTTCTCTTCGTTATGGTAAGCTAACCAACTCAGGCAGTCCAACTCTACATAACGACATGCATATAAATCAAAACAATCATGAGCGTAAACCTCCCAACCTCAGAGAAAATTTGAACTGTACAATTAGAACAGCCCAACACAACACATCATCAACAACAAATAAAAAATTAACAATTAAAAACAATACTAAGTGCCACAATGAATCGAAAGAAAACAAAATTTCAAGGAAAAAAAAGCTTAGCATACAAGAGCTCATTCCAAGTATCTTGAAGCCCGGGCAAGCACCAGTGGACGCAATCAGAATAGCTCTTCGGGTTGGCGAGCTGCTCTGCTGTGAGCTTGTTCCACTGCTTCTTGTAGATGGATGTGTGCGCGTCCTTTCGGTAATTAGAGAGCTGAGTGATATTGAGAATCGTAACTGGCATCTTTCTCCCGGTGAACAAATTGCCCACCAGACTCATTATGCTCTTTCTGGAACAGCTCCCCCAGAAATTTGGATCCATTATTGGCGTCGTCTCTCCATAGCAGTTGCCCTCGGCCTCGCCACCCCACTCCGCACTCCTGCGTACAATATGTTATTATGTATCAATTCATGAAATAATGCTGTTCTGAGTGCAGGTTGAATTAGCATTTTGTTTTGATAAAAAAATGGTGAATTTTGCTCCTGGTTTTTTATTTAATTTAAAAAAAGGGACTTCACATACATAACACCCAATTCTTGTGAACTTACACATATCTCATATCAAAACTCTCATTTTTTTTACGAACACAGCATGTCATTCCTTCCTAAACACACTTTCTCGCGAACACACTTTCTAGCGATAAAAATTTACATTTTCATTCATAGGTAAGATGCCCTGTTTGTAAGAAATATGAGTAACTGTTATATGATACAAACACAATTTTGTTGTGAAATACGTAAATGCATAAGAATTGGGTGTTGTCTATGTAAATTTTCATTTTAAATAACAAATTTTTTGCAAGTTTTGAATGAGTTGATTAATCATATTCATTAGTGCATGTCAAGTGCACATTCAGTAAATTCAGATGGATTATTTGGCAGATTTATTAAACTAATTGATTGACAGATTTGATTTAAGAACAAAAAAGACTCTCTACCGAACATTTATAAAGGTTGCCTATAACTAACCTCTCATGACAAGGAGACATGGTAGCGAAGAACACCCTGTTTGTCTTGGGATCCATGTTCTGCTCCACCCACCTCATCATTCTCCTCACAGCCAATCTATAAGCATCCTCCGTCACCATCTCCGTGATATTCTTGTTCTCACTATCGAACGAACCTCGACTGCAGGACCCCAAAATCACACCTTTTTTATATAGAAATTACCAAAAATTGAGGGAAATGAACAGAAACTTACAGAATCCTCATCTTCTGTCCTGTCATCCACCAAAGATAGGTATTGAAGACCATAATGTCTATGCCCTTCCAATGCCGAGCGTGCTTGTTAATTGATCCAACACGAACGATTCGATCCCTTACTCTATGAACAATGGCGTCATCTGAGTTTGACTCGACGAGGAATGGAGCCCAGAAGAACTCAATTGTGGCATTGTAGTCCTGCTTCAGAAACAGTAGGTTAGAGTTTGAGAAATTTTTATAGTTTTTGAAGAGTTGATTGGGGTTGAGTTGGTTGCCTTGGCTCGGAAGATGGTGAGTGAGCCGTTGGTTGTCATGGATTTGGAGTTTTCAGGGATGGATCGATGGAGGAGGCAGACTAGGGAGACAAACTGGCCGCGGTTTAAGGAGTCGCCGATGAACATCAGTCTCTTTCCTCTTAGCTTCTCCAGCATGAAGGTGGCGTTGAAGCTGAAATATATATAGTTTATACACACATCTTAAATGCATTATTCTAAAAAAGTTTTGATTTTTTTTTTCTTTGATTTAAACTGTGATCAGTATAGTGTATGACACAAGCGTGATAGGAATCATAAAGAAGGAAGTTTATTTCCAAGTAGAAAAATTATTTTTATTAATATATTTGTCAATTAATTTGATTTTTTTTATTTTTATTTCTAATTTTTATCCATTTGAGGTAAGATTAAATTCAAAGTCTTTTGTAAGTAAGGGGTGGTTTCAACTTTGTTTTTATTTTGTTTATTTTTTTTATTTGAAATAAAATAAATATTTTTTATGCACGAAAAAATCAATTTATTTCTAAAAATACTCAAAATAAAACCATTTTTGAATATTTTAAAAACAAAATAATTTATTTTTAAAAATTAAAATAAAAACATGTGAAAGATGTATTAAATGAAAATATTTTCAACACACGGGTAAGGTGAGCTTGATTTTGTAATGCATACTTCCACAAACTAGTTGTATTTGTCAGCCATATACAATTTTTCGTATTTGTAGCATCTTTTATTATTTTACGCAGTTTTACCATATTTACTCCAAAAAATAAAGATAAGGAACACCAAACAATGGTACTTGATTTAAACATTTATTTGAGTTTTAAATCGCTTCAGGAAACAAAACCATAATTAAAAATAGATGCTGCACATGCACCATCAGCAAAAACATGTGAATATTGCAAAATTTTCCTACCTTCTACCAATTTAAAATGACGAATTAGCTGTGTCACTCACTTAAAATTTCAGTAAACTTGTAAAACTTAGTGAATCAGCTTCCTAGAAGCAGTAACTTCCTATGATTCATTTGTCCTGAGTTTCCATACTTGAATTAAAGCCACTCAAATTTGTTGACAAATATAACTTCCTTCTTAATCAAGCACACTTAATACCTTAACTATATACAGTTTACGTTAGCTTCATTCATAAAAAAAGAAGGGGAAAAAAATCTAAAATTAAATTTGAATGTTTTTCAGAAAGAAGAAGATAGTTCTCATGTTTGAGTCTCTCAACTGCTGATCTGAACTCAAATCCAAATCATTAGTGGTTTGAAACTTATATATTTTCGCAAGGGAATTTGAACCATACCTGGGCAAATCACAATCATGAGGCTGCCATCTCCAATGAAGATAGCCTTTGTCAGGTCTCCCATAAGCCTGGCAAGTAAGCTGAGGCTGTATATAAGGGCACTCTTCCTCCTGGTACAGCGGCCTTGTCTCTTCATCATAAACCCAACTCCCACTAAACAAATTACATTCTTTCTCTCCCCTCTCTACCGCAAAAGGCACCACTAAATCCTTCTCTACGACATAATTAAGCCAATCAATACCAAAAAAAAAACAAAACAATTAAGGCCTGTAAGCTTTCTCACCTTGCTCAGTTTGTAATGAAAGAATTTGATCTGGTTTCTCCTCTTCCGGCTCTTGCAACTTCAAGGTTGATTGGCTAAGGATGCAACCGAAGTCTTCACCATAAAGGATCACAACAAAGAAGACAAAGCAGAGGGAGATGATGTAGAAGGAGATGGAGTTCTTCTTTTGGTTGGAAGTTGGTGACTTCATTGAGGAAGTTATTTTGGGAAGGGGAAGAGTGAGGGGAAATGAAGAAAATGTTTTATTGGTCTAGTGATTGGAAGGTGGAGTATATATGAAGGAAAGGTTAGTAGGTGGGATTGAGAAGGTGAGAGAAATAATGTCATAGTCCCCACTTTTTATATGATAATGTTGTTGTTTAGAATAATTTGGATGGTTCTCGCATGCCATTCCAATGATATCTTGTATTCATGGAGAAACATGGTTGTGTACAAGTGTAGAGGCAGTCTCTGATAGTTTCTTTTGGCTTTAATCATGACCGTCGGATACAGTATTTAATGAGGACTTATGATGTAAAATAGGCTTGGGATTGGTAGTAATCATGTATATAATAGCTGTTAAGTCAATGACATGCTAAAGATCAAACGAGTAATAGGTTCGAGATTAGTGTAATCGTGTCGAGAATGAAGTTTTTTAGCACTTTTCTTCACTTATTTAATCATGATTTGTTAGAGGTGTGTGGTTTGGATGTTTTTAAAATGAGAAATTTATATAAATACCACTGAAGTTTTATGTATTTATATATCTAACACCAAAATTTTGATTTTTACACTTATAACATCTTTATGTCGTAAACTTGGGCATGAAATTGTATATTTCACTTTTAAAAAGGTTGGTAATATGGAATTTTCATGACATTTTTGATGTGATGTTAATGATTTGGGTGATATGCATGTAAATATGAATATTCAAGCATTGTATATGTAAATATTTAAGAACTGTGTGGCATTTATGTAAAAATATTCAATATAATTGATTTGCATCCAATCAAAATAGGTGATGCTCTTCTAAAATTTATGCACTGAAGTTAACATATCTAAAATACATAAATTTTAGAAGCAAAGAGATTCACAAAACTCTATTTTGCATTTATTTTATTCCATACCAAACATCCAAACAAAATAAAATACACAAAAATAAAATGCAATATCTTACTAATGTAGACAACCAAACAACCCTTAATCGCTTGCTTACACTGTTGTTCTTGCGAGATAGGCTAAATTTGGCCATATGTTCCATAATAATTCATATATAAATTTATCTATTATTTTAGTTGGCCAAAGTACTCCAGGGCTCTAGAAAAGTTGATTCTGACAAGCGGGTATTTAAAAATGTGAGATTTGTAAAGGACCAGAAGAATTAATTAAATACTCGATCCACAGCAGCAGAGCTCAAGGTAAACTCTCCTCTGACATAGCTCTTGAAGTAGGGCAGTTTGGTCTCTAGAAGCAAATTAAAAAAGATCAACAGTAATCTCATCAAATAGAAGAAGCAAAACCATATTTTTCAGAATATTTAGGAAAGCTTTTAGTCTATTCTATATTTGAAGAGCAGACACATCCGTTTTGATTTTTCAAATATACAGTTTATTCAGATGAAATAGTACAGTGGAAGTTTATATTATTATTCTAATATTGCTGATAAATAAAAATTATTAGTAAAGTCTACTGAAGCATAGTCAAGAAGAATCTTCTACACATATATTACTTTTATTTATGGGTTACTAATGGCCAAATTTGATGTTGATGTTGGAACCTCAAACTGAGCTATTGGTGATTCATATAATTGCTTCAAAGAACTATTAAATGTGGATCTTTTCTCCATCTTTACTTGAGAAAAAAAAAAGGAAGTTTTTGTTGAGCAGTCTCAATTCTCTAGTAATAAAAAGGCTAAAGACAGTGACAGTGACAGTAATCAAAATTCAGAAGTGTAATTTAAGATCCAGAGGGAGACAGAAAAAAAAAATAAAAGCTTTCTTCAGCACCGTGAAACTAAAATAAGAATTGGCATCGGAGCAGTTGTGGGAGGAACAGTGACTAAAAGCCTTCCATTGTATGAATAATTCAGATCTTTTTTCGTCCTTTTTCTTGCTTTTGTGTGCAAAGCGTTTGGTGAGGAAGGAGAACGTGCAAGAGTTAAAAATGATCTTTTTTTTTTGGTAATTACAAATGAGGGATTAAAGTGGGGGTTGGGATAGCTTTCTGTGAAGAGATAAGAGAGGAGCTGAAATGTCCAACTCAATTCCTAATTGGCAATTTGTTGGGCGGGGGGTTTTTTTAAGGGAGGTTGCTTCTTTAGCTTGACTAAAATTTATTGTGTTTACTTTGTTATATGAATAAATTTAATAATGTTAGGATTAGGTCAACTAGTTTTTCATTTTACAAATATTTTTTTTGGAAGGTTTACATGTGTATCACTCAATTCTTGTATATTTATATATTAAACAGCTAAATTTCAGTTTTTACATGCATATCATCTTTTATTTGCATGAAAAAATATATTTAACATTTTAAAAGTTAAAATGAAGGTATTTTTGAAATGATATGGAAGATTTGGTGCTATAAATATGAAAAAAAAACTTTTGGTGTTAGATATGTAAATAGATAGGAATTGGGCGGTTTGTATGTGTTGAATTCAAATCTTTCTTCTGAACCATGTTTAAAGAATAGAGCCCGATTATGGGGAGTGGAGAAAGAGAAAGAGAGAGAGAGAGAGGGTTGCTACATCGAGAGGCAAAATAGGGTGGTCCCCGAGCTCAGCGACTCTTTTTATTCCACACAAGTTTAGGTTACAAGAGAGGGAGAAGAAAAGCAAGCTCCATACATGAGGGGGGAAGAGAGAGCCTAGATGGACCCTTTTAAATACCAAAGGATCATCTATTTATAGAGAAAAGAGAAGGGAGAGAGGAAATTGCATTGTTGAATTCAAATTTGTCCTCTGGACCATGCCCAAGGAATAAAGTCGGATTCTGGGGGGAGGTGGGGGGGGGGGGGGGGGGGTGTTGGAGAAAGAGAGACAGAGAAGGAGAGAGAGGGTTGCCCTGTCAGGGGGGCAAATAGGGGTGTTCCCTGAGCTCAGCTATAATACAAGTGAAAGAGAAGAGGAACAAACTTCCTAAATGTGTGGGGTGGACCCCTTTACATGCCAAGGGGTCCTCTAATTATAGAGAAAAGAGAATGGGGAAAAGAAATTACAAATATGACTATTTAAACGGGGCAGCGAGGGGTATTCCGGCCTTTTTCCTGCTCGATCCGATCCTTTTGGAATTCTTTTATGCTGCTAGATTCGTTTGCGTCGGATATCTGGCTCAAGTGGCCAGATGACAAATAAAATATCAAAGTTTAGCTGTTAGATTAGTAAACAAAAAAAATTGTATGGTGTGTATATAAATACGTCCCTTTAAGCTATATATGCATTTATATATTTATTAATATATAAGAAATTGGTGGTATATATGTAAATATTTGGTTTGAGAGGTGGCCAACACGAGCTGGTCGGGTTGAGGTGGTCGGCCAGGTGGCAGGTTCAAAGGGGGTGATTGACTGGCTCGGCATGCCCATTTTACTGAGGGAATAAAATATTCATTTATACACTTAGAAAACATCATGTTTTTAAAACTTAACAGTGGAGGTTGGTTGGCCAAGGTGGCTAGCCGCAAAGAGCCTTCCTGATGACTCTTGAGGGGTTGCAGACCTTTTCAGGTCGGATGGCAAGTTTGGCCCATCCAGGAGGGCGGCCGGCCCTATTAGCCAACTGACAGAAAATCTTGCAGTCTCTTGCCCGATTCTGATGATGATCTCGACAACAACTCCCATGGCTCGGTGAGGACCTATTTTTATGCTATACATTCATATGTGCCCCTACTTAAAGAGAGTCGCAAAGGGTACTCCGTTCTTTTTCACGCTCGAACTTATCCTTTTGGAGTTCTTTCTTATTGTTGGATTCGTTAACGTCGGTTAATCGGCCCAGGTGGTCGGGTGGAACAAAAGAAAATCACAGTTTAGGTGTTAGATATGTAAAGACAATAGAATGGGTGGCATGCATATAAATACCTTCCTTTAACGTATATATACATTTATATATTTATTAATATATAAGAATTGGGTGGTATGTGATTCATTTTAAAATTACCTATTTTTTATGCACATTTTATACTCATTTTTAAGGATATTATGTTTTAATGAAAGATATTTTGTGTGTTTTTTATTACAGTTATAAGAAAAAGAGTTTAAGAGCAAAAATGAGCAAAAATACATCAAAAAGGAGTAATATGGGCCAAACCAAAGAAAATTTATGAAACCAGCCGAACTGGCGCCTAGACGTCAGATGCAGATTGCAACTGGCACCTAGGCATCTAACGCCTAGGTGCCACATTTGTTTTCTTGAAGATGCGTTGAATAAGACCAAATTTTGAAGAGATGTCTGAAGCAACCCTTGGTCATTTTCGAAGCTCTATATGTAAGGATTAATTCTAAACGTTGAGGAGGAGTTCTAAAGTCATTTTGAGAAGGGGAGGCACCCATCTAGAGTCTTTGTGGAGGTTGTGCGAGTCTTTGTGATTTATGGAGTACTGTGAGTCTTGTAAGAGTCTTGTGGAGTCAGAGAAGTCAGGGAACTTCACTAGCTCGACATGCCCCTTGTGAAAAAAATATTCTTTTATACACTTAGAAAACACCATGCGTTTAAAGCCTGACAGTGAGGTATGCACGATAAATGCTAATATGCTTTAGACTTTTATCTCTATGAGGCTAATTAAATGGAGCTGCTTTGAAATTATTCCCCTATGAAGTTTTTCTGTTGACCGACTAATTGGCTTAAAGTGGTTGTCGACAAGTTTGGCGGCCCAAGTGGCTTGCCAGTGGAGGTTGGTCAGCCAAGGTGACTGGTAACAAACAGTCTTCCTGGTGACTTGGAGGGGTTTTCGGCTTGTTCCAGGGCAGTTTTGGCAGGCCCTATTGGCCGACCTGCTCTCTAGTGCAATTCCGACGACAATCTCGGCAGCGGATCGCTTGGCTCTATGAGAGCTCATTTTTATGCCCTACAGGATGTAAATGCCTTGATTGTTTATTCATGGTGTTGTGTATGTAATGACAAAGTAAAAGAATGACGGTAATTGATGTTAGGTTGGAATAGAATATTTATGGATGTTTATCAATGTTTTATTTATGCAGTAATTTATGGGAATGTAATAATGTCTTATTCTGAGTTTACCACTCAAATATTTAAATCTTGATTTCATCATTAGATCTAT